CACTTTGCATTCGAATTAAAAGTTACCCCTAAATGTTAATGATAATCTGTAAAGTTTAAGACTTTCCCATCAAATTCTATATCTAAGTCTTTTTCGATATCAATTGAATTCGAAATAAACAATACATCTGTTTTTTTCAGGATTAAAATTAACCAACCATGTTTTTGACCAAGTATTTAAGATCTCTAGGTCTCTATTTAAAGTTTCTTGAATTTCTAGACAAGATGAAGATGGCTTAAGTAATGATGTATCGTCTGCAAAAAGACGAGACGTTGATTCAAAAGTATCATCTATGTCATTAATAAATATGGGTATAGCATATAATATACAAAAAATCCCCTTTGCCTTTATTAATATCAAACTGGCATTTGTTTTAACTTTAATGTATTTCACTAGACATGAAATCTCTTAATGAAAAAAAAAGACCTAATGACTCTCTAAAACTGTCACAAATCGCACTTTCTGGTTTCTTGTATTTCACAGGGAAGCATGCCCTTTCTGACTTTACCCCCACCCCACTTAAAAAAAAACCTGGTAGCATGAAATAAAAAATAAAATATACATGTCAATTCAGTGTATGATCAGTTTAGTTTTACTTTTTCGAAATGTTAAAAAATAGATCTGTCTCTGTTCATTTTGGCTACATGTATATATACGCATGTCCGTTTCTTGGTTGAAGTTACATGTAGTTGTATATCAGTGATATTGTATTGGTCTTGTCAACATTTATAAAGTGAGTTGGTCATTGTGAAAAAACCAGAAGAGGAACTTTTCTCGGGGTTTTAAGCAATAGGGACAGCTCCTGCAGAAATGTCCGTGTATATTCCTCGCAAGGGAGGCGCGAACTTCTCTGGAAAGAATAACATGTAGCGCTCTGGTATGATTTGGAGCACTTTTGGAGTAAAATGTAGCTTGATACTTTAATTGAATTTTAGGTATTTTAATTTTTTAAATTCAATTTTATTTGCACATTTCTAATTACACAGTAACTTGATGTCAATTTACGTGAATATTTAACAAACACAAACATTTGAAAAGACAATATCATAGAGGTAATTATGGGCGGCATCACGTTATAAATTATACATGACTGATTACAGGTCCACCCTCATCGGTGTTAATGACTTAGTGTTTTATGAATACGTTGTTTTATATACAAGTAAATGTATTCGAGATAGACTTTTAAATAGAAGATGATGTTGTTCATTATTTTTCCTTGTCAAACAAATCAAATTACACCTTTGCTCGAATATAGTTCTCGTACCTTATTAGATAGATTTTTTCCAGTGTTTAAAATGTTGTAGTAATACAGTTAAGTATTAACAAATACTTTGTTTCCAGTATACCTACAGAAAACAGTTTTACTGAATTTTTATTTCGTTTCCGGTAATATGCTGATTTCCCAACATATATCGATTTCCAAATAAAAATGAAATCCTACCCCTTAAAATAATGTAGTGAAAATAGTCTAAAATGTGTACGGTGACATTTCGACAGCAGTAGCACACTGAAATAAAGCCATGCGTGTTATCTCCCTTTATATGCATCTTTTGTGTCATGAGATATTGTTGGGGATTACTTCCGGGCAAAGAAGACAGTGAACCTGAAAATTAGTTTTAGTGTTTCAATATTAGTCTTTGTGTGGGAAAGTTAACATTCTTATGATAACTTAACATTGACAGACTATCTTACACAAAGGACGTCAAAAACATGATATTTATAAGGCATAACTATAGATGACTCAGATATTTTTTGTGGTGACGAATTTTTCATGATAACGTTACTTGGACTTAAATAGTATAAACTTCCGTGTGTTGAGCTGATTTCGAAAACACCGCGGTAACTTTAATACATTTCTATACTATTATCTTCAGACCCTGATGAAGTTAATTAAATAACCTGAATTCCAATTTTGACTGTATGAGTACAACAGTGATAGAATCCGACGATTCCGCCGGGGAAACCAGGCCACTAATGTCTACCGGGACAGCCTACTCGGGTAGGAGGAGCCAACCCGTTACCCGGGATCAGTACGAGAACTTTGATGACGGTCGTACCAGGGATAACCAGGGAAATGGCATTGGAATGGTACAAAGTCACAACAAATTGATATGGACATAGGCTTGTATAAACTTAAGTTAATGTGATCAGTCTCAGATATAGAATTTCAACATTTTCTTAAGACCAAAGCAGAGACGTATATTAATATATGTCTCTGACAAAAGTAACATCATAGAAGACAATTTAGCAAATAACATTTACACAGTAGAATTTCACCAGTAACATCATAAGGTGATCCCAGCAGAGAAGTCTTCAATATGTTGCATTTGTGTTTGTTCACAATTAATGTAACCACGGAATTAGATTAGTTATCTAAGTCCGTGATGTAACGTAACTGGACTGGGTCGATCGTCAGCGACCAGCTAGCTCAATTGGTAGAGCATCTGTCTAGTGTTCGGAGGGTCCCGGGTTCAAACCCTGGTCTGGCCGTGCATTTTTTCTCTCTTGTTACAACATAAATGTTATAAGGGAATACAGGAATCTCAACACCACAAGGACGTTTAGTGTAATTTACTTGCAGACAGTGAAATATAACACAAAATGTCCTTGTGGTGTTGAGATTCCTTTATTCCCTTATAATGTTTTATTATTAAGTAGCTCTATAGAATCCATTCACTGATCCACCCTAAGATGCTACCGCAAAGTTCTACATTAGGAGTTTAGGAGTGTTGGATCACTTTTTATTTATATTCACATAAATGTGAAATCATTGAGCCCCCCCCCCTTAAATCACTGCCTCAATAAATATCTTTACCTTTCCAATTAAAATTTCATAATTGACTTAAACTAACTTCATATATAATGAATTTGAAAATAAGTGCTAAGAAACTGTCCTAAGTAATGAAATTAAAAAAGAGAACTTAACCATTTTTTAATTTTCATATTGGGTAACATCAATAATTCTGCGTAATGCCTAATAGCTTGATCAAGATATATTTGTGACTTGATCAAGAGCTGGAGATCTTAACATGCAAGTGTATTTATTATATTTAATTTTGACAGGATGTTAATCATGAGGATGAAGCAGATGAAACCAGAGCAGAGATTCGTCCTGCACGGCAGCCTCAGAGAAGGCGTGGCACGAGTGGTGAAGGGGAAGAAGATGAAGATGAAGTGATGCTGTATGGAGCTAAACATGTCATCATGTTATTTGCTCCTGTCACTGTGTGTATGATAGTAGTAGTTGCCTCCATCAGCTCCGTCACCTTCTACACGAAGAAGTCGGGCTATTTGTAAGTTTACAATCCCTTGATTCCTAGGTGCAAATGTCACGGTTACACAATTTTCATTCTGTTTGGGAGAATCTTCAGTTTGAGGACATTTTCTGTTGTCATATTGTTGAACCAGAATTTTTAATTGTTTTTGAAAAGTTTTATGCATGTACGTATAGTATAAACAAGTTAGTACTCAAAGTTATAGTAATCTAAGAAAAACCTATGACACATTCAAAGTTAAGGAGTGTTTCATAGCATGGAAGCCCACTCTAAAACATTCAATAAAAGAATGTTAGAATATACCGTGAAATTATATAAACTGAAATGACTTCTTGATAGAAGTTCTTCTGCACATCAATAAAATCAGATTGAATTCAGAAAGTATTAATATTATAAGGATGCATCATAAATCACAATAAGTAGCTGTTACCTTATATGTTTGAATTTTACAGAATCTATACTCCATTCCATGACGGTGACAAGCCTGACTCCACTACAGGCACAAAAGTATGGCAGTCATTAGCTAATGCCATGATTCTCCTGGGGGTTGTCATTGTCATGACAATCTTCCTGCTCCTTCTCTATAAATACCGGTGCTACAAGGTCATACATGGCTGGCTGGTGGGCTCGTCTCTTATGCTGTTGTTTCTATTCTCCTATCTCTACATTGAGTAAGTAGATAAAGCAGTACACATACTAGGAATGTAATTAATGGAAAAGGGTTAAATTTTCTCTTTTGCACTTTTTTACAGCTCTGAAAATCAAGTTCCATGTTGAAAATGTTATCTTTCGAAAGTCTTACACCTTTACAGGATATTTTTGTAATTTAACTTGTCAACAGCAGTGTTAAGATGCCCTTGTCTTTACTGGACATTTGTTTGCTGCTTTTGTCAGTGATAGTTATTTACTTGAGTTAAGTAGTTGCACTTTAATAACAATCTCAGGAATTTTGTGGATGGCACATTGATCCTATATACCATTAATCAAGTGAAAGATATTAATCAAAAAGTGAAGAAAACACTTTTACAGTAGGTAGAGTTTTACATTTCACTGCTTCAAATGTTACAGAATATCTTTTCAGCTGAAGTAGACAAGTGTAAGCTCTCACTTACTGTATTCTGTGTATAAACCTTAGAATAATGAAACCTTTTCACAAATGCTTTAGTTTCTTCAAAAAATTAAAACAAACAAATAAATCGTCAGTGCATAACGTATCCTTCATCAACACAATGATTTTCGTTACTTTTAGGAAATTCTTTAAAGTGTGTTTGTGTGAAAAGTCCATTTTCCCAACACTATGATTTTGTGTTGAGGATGACCTATAAGATATGACGTTTAAACTTGTAGAAGTATATGATTCCAAACCAGGGTCCAATATGTTTTTTCCAAATCATAAATAATCTATATAGTTTTATCTTATCGCTTCATATTAAATTTAATGTCACATAAAGTTCCAATGATTTAAAAACACTTCTCGACTTTCCAATCAAGATTGCATTGTTCAGTCCAGATTAACAACCATTTTCATGCCCTCTGATTTTTTCCAGGACAGATAATGGTATGATAAAAATGATATATATCAGGTGAGTTTGCTTAAATCCAGGCATAAAAAATACTCTTCAGGTGATTTACTTTCTGTAAAAAGCGTTGTCCTTGTCACTATAGAGTGGTGCTGCAGGCGTACAACGTACCGATAGACTACATCACCGTGGCCTTGCTGATCTGGAACTTTGGCGTGATGGGGATGATATGTATCCACTGGAAGGGTCCCCTCATCCTCCAACAGGCCTACCTCATCATCATCTCAGCCCTCATGTCCCTTATCTTCATCAAGTACCTACCTGATTGGACCACCTGGGTCCTACTAGGGGTTATGGTCATCTGGGGTAAGTAACGGTATCTTCCTTGGTGTAATTATTATGTTGGGTAATGGTCATTTGGTGTAAAATCACTGTTTTACTATAGGTAATGGTCATCTGGGGTAAAATCACTGTTTTACTATAGGTAATGGTCATCTGGGGTAAGTACCTGTATCTTACTATAGGTAATGGTCATCTGGGGTAAGTACCTGTATCTTACTAGGGATAATGGTCATCTGGGGTAAAACCTTATCTTACTAGGGATAATGGTCATCTTGGGTAAGACCTTATCTTACTAGGGGTAATGGTCATCCAGGATAAGACCTTATCTTACTAGGGATAATGGTCATCTGGGGTAAGACCTTATCTTACTATGGGTAATGGTCATCTGGGGTAAGACCATATCTTACTAGGGATAATGGTCATCTTGGGTAAGACCTTATCTTACTAGGGGTAATGGTCATCTAGGGTAAGAACTTATCTTACTAGGGGTAATGGTCTTCGGGGTAAGACCATATCTTACTAGGGGTAATGGTCATCGGGGTAAGAACATATCTTGCTAGGGATAATGGTCATCTGGGGTAAAACCTTATCTTACTAGGGATAATGGTCATCTGGGGTAAAACCTTATCTTACTAGGGATAATGGTCATCTTGGTTAAGACCTTATCTTACTAGGGGTCATGGTCATCCAGGATAAGACCTTATCTTGCTAGGGATAATGGTCATCTGGGGTAAAACCTTATCTTACTAGGGATAAAGGTAAACTGAGGTAAGACCTTATCTTACTAGGGGTCATGGTCATCCAGGATAAGACCTTATCTTGCTAGGGATAATGGTCATCTGGGGTAAGACCTTATCTTACTAGGGTTAATGGGAATCTGAGGTTAGACCATATCTTACTAGGGGTAATGGTTATCTAGGGTAAGAACTTATCTTACTAGGGGTAATGGTCTTCGGGGTAAGACCATATCTTACTAGGGGTAAAGGTCATCTAGGGTAAGACCTTATCTTACTAGGGTTAATGGTAATCTGAGGTTAGACCATATCTTACTAGGGGTAATGGTCATCTAGGGTAAGAACTTATCTTACTAGGGGTAATGGTCATCTAGGGTAGGACCTTATCTTACATGGGGTAATGGTCATCTGGGGTGATTACAGTACCTGTGTATTGGAAGTATTTAGTGGTCATATTGGGTCATTACATTCATCTCACAAATGGTTATGGTCATTTGGGTCGAATATACTATAGGGGGTAAGATTTGTATTTTGAAAGCCAAGTTGATTTCTAGGCTTTGAAAGATAGTTTCCACACTTGGTTATGTGAATTCACCAAACAGCTTCAGAATCTTGAGTTTCCTTTACAGACCTGGTGGCTGTACTTTGCCCAAAGGGACCATTGAGGATGCTTGTGGAGACTGCCCAGAAGAGGAATGAACCAATATTTCCTGCACTAATATACTCATGTAGGTATATGTAACACTTAAATAAATTTGGACATTTGCTATGCAGAAATATCTGTTATTCATTGCTTCATATTGAATACAAAAAGATGTTTTTGTTAACAGTATACTTAAACATCAATGACAATTACATGTTAACAGAATACTTGTACTTCTTATTTGAAACACTGATTTACCAGTTACCTTGAATTACCAAAATTTGGTTGATGGGCTGTGTTAGGTGACAAAATAAAAATATTCCTGGCCCAATGTTTTCTAAATACAGATATGTTCTGTTGTTCTTGCCTTCAGCAGATGTAGTTTGCCGAAGTTATAGAAATACTTTTGAAAAAATTATACACATATATTGTGGCTTATTTAGAATGAAAGAACTTGTGATAGCATGCAGATGTTCTATAGTTAGCTAGTTTTTGTGTTGATAGAGAATAAAACCAAGCTAAAATTTCTATAATTAAAACAAATTTCTTGGTCCAAGGGGATATATCAAAAGGAATTGTACTTGGATATGGATTTTAAAGTGTATTGTAATCTCGGTTAAAGTTAGGTTTTACGGTAGATTAAAGAGATTACATTTGTATTTCCTTAAACAGCTACCATGATCTGGACTGTGGGTATTGGTATGGCAGAGGGAAACCCTAAGAAGAAGAAAAAGTCAAAGAAATCAAAGAAAGACACACAAACAGATGGTGAGATTGTTTTTGTAACATTTCAAAGTTTTTTACAGGGTCAAAAAATATTTCATTCTAAACTTTTTCTTGTATTCATAAAACATTAAAAATGTTATCATGTTTAAACATTTTTCTGAATTAATTTTATACCTAAACACTTAGTGGATGTTTATATCTGATAATATAGTTAATTCTATGTGGAATAGTCACACTGGATGATTCTATAAATATGTAATGCACCTGCCACTGGAAATAAACGTGTGTCACTAGAAAAATGTTATATATGTATGCTACCTTAATTTTTGTATATCAAATCAACCTTATTTTATATTCCAATCAACGTTGAACAGGCATTGTCATTTTAAATGTATCAAAGTTTACATAACAACCCTCCTCGGAAAATATTATATATTAAACATGATTCCCTTATTTGTCTTACAGGATTTGAGCAAATAATGTTAATTTATTCAGTTTAGAACCAATTTCAATAATAGGAAGCAGGAAATGTGTCGTTTGTCACTTCAATATAGTGTAATGAAAGTAGAGAACACACATGTTTAACTTGTTGCTAAAACAGATTCTAACACGATTCGTTTGCAACGCATGTTTTGATCGGATACGGACCATGTTCTAATCTGCGATAGAATCATGATCAATCGTGTTAAGCTCCTCCCATCGCACTTAAGCCACGCCCCGTTTCAAACTAAAACAATATGGCGTCAAGCTCGCCTCTTAGCGAAATCCCGCTTTTAAGACTAGCAGGCAACAGAACAGAAACGACCGATGAAATGTATTTGAATTAAAAAGTAAAAAGTACACATTCCTTGTTCTTACCTCCATTTGTTACTGAAACGCTCATTCCATCCGTGTGAAGACATCTACTTAGATCCGAAATCAAATGAAACATTTCACATGTGTCGTATGCATTTACACAAAACTCTTCACAAATCTATACAAATAATCACCGATTTTGTCGATAAGCACAGATTGGTATGCATACTGACATGGAAATGTAAGAACTTGGTCAATATTAATCCAAATGTGTCGTATAAACTATGGTAACAGGACGTTCACGAACATCCCAAATATTCCGCCTTGTCAACATACAGATCGAGCGCTCGCCAGTATGGGCGGGGCCAAATGACCGACTTTTGAAAGCGTCTTTCCGATTGGTCAGTCCGCTGCAGAATGACACGTCGCCAGTTCAGGTCACAAAGTATTTTACTGTGTACTTTTGTACAAGGAAATACAATGTTTCTAAACATATTAGCGTAGTATATTTGTTCAAGTATGTTAGAATGGGGAGAGTACATTGTTTTTCGTGTCTATACTGGCGATTAGAACATGAAATTTGGTTTAAACTCTCGACCTATCGGTCTCGAGTTCAAACCCAAATTTCATGTTCTAATCGCCAGTATAGCCACTCAAAACACCGTACTATCCCCTAAATAAACAGAACTATCATTAAATACTTCAAAAACTATCCTTTGTTTAATTTGAAGCTTCACCAACTTTTACTGTATGTAAAAATGTGGAGTGGTAGTAAATGTAGTGCTGTCTAAGGTGTATGTATCTTAAATGTAAGTGTTGGTATTCCGTCTTTGCGTTTTGCAGAGTTATCTTCTCTTGTGAGCAGGTATTGATTGTTACGTCATTTGTTTTTGAGAGTAACGTCATCAATTTTTGAGAAAACGACGTAAATTTCTCACACAAACCAATGACGCAACAATCAGTACCTGCTCACAAGAGAAGATAACTCTGCAATACGTAAAGACGGAATAGTAAAGTTATGACCAGGATATAAACGTAATTACAAGTCTGGGTATGCAATGTTTTGTTTCTTCGGCTTCCATCACCTGTTGTTTTTCCAACATTTCAGGCAAAATTATGAATTATATATTTATTGTCTATGTCACTATGTTTCAATAGTAAATGAAAAAAACCCACCAAATTAACTGTTTTTAATGAAGATTTAACATAACAGGGAGATGACAGGTTTAATAGTCCAAAACCTTTTTACTTTTAAACATAACACAATCTATATAAAAGTTAAAACAAAAAATCTGCTAAAACCTAGCTACCTTGCACGGAAATCATCCATTAGCTCAAATTCAAAACACATCACTCTCATAATAAATAAATATCAGTTGCATTAGAAACAGAGAAACCAACAAAATATCAGGAACTCTAAATAGAAATCTGAAATATCAAAATAAAATTGAGATAGATGTAATTTAGTCTATAACTGGAGTACATGTATACATTGTTTTACAGCAGTTACAGGTGTAATCTGTCTGTAATGGGAGACCATGTATACATTGTTTTACAGCAGTTACAGGTATAATATGTCTGTGATGGGAGTACATGTATACATTGTTTTACAGCAGCTACAGGTGAAATCTGTCTGTAATGGGAGAACATGTATACATTGTTTTAGAGCAGTTACAGGTGTAATCTGTCTGTAATGGGAGACCATGTATGCATTGTTTTAGAGCAGTTACAGGTGTAATCTGTCTGTAATGGGAGTACAGGTATACATTGTTTTACAGCAGTTACAGGTGTTATCTGTCTGTAATGGGAGTACATGTATACATTGTTTTACAGCAGCTACAGGGGTAATCTGTCTGTAATGGGAGACCATGTATACATTGTTTTAGAGCAGTTACAGGTGTTATCTGTCTGTAACTGGAGTACAGGTATACATTGTTTTACAGCAGCTACAGGTGTAATCTGTCTGTAACTGGAGTACATGTATACATTGTTTTACAGCAGCTACAGGTGTAATCTGTCTGTTATGGGAGTACAGGTATACATTGTTTTACTCCAGCTACAGGTGTAATCTGTCTGTAATGGGAGTACAGGTATACATTGTTTTACAGCAGTTGCAGGTGTCATCTGTCTGTAATGGGAGTACAGGTATACATTGTTTTACAGCAGCAACAGGTGTTATCAGTCTGTAATGGGAGTACATGTATACATTGTTTTACAGTAGTGACAGGTGTAATCTGTCTGTAATTGGAGTACATGTATACATTGTTTTACAGCAGCTACAGGTGTAATCTGTCTGTTATGGGAGTACATGTATACATTGTTTTACAGCAGCTACAGGTGTAATCTGTCTGTAATGGGAGTACTGGTATACATTGTTTTACAGCAGCTACAGGTGTAATCTGTCTGTAATGGGAGTACAGGTATACATTGTTTTACAGCAGCTACAGGTGGAGCCAGTCTAGCTGTAGACAATGGATCTGATGATGATGATGATAGTGGATTCACAAGAAATTCAGCACATGAACAAGTCCTGGCCAGGAATAGTACAGACTCTGCAGAGGTATAATACAACAAAGTAAATCAGATTGTAAATGACCTGGTCAGTCTAGTTTTACAAACGTCTGTAATTTGTCTTACGATATGTTGTAAAACATTTGCATCATACAAATACATGTTCCATACACCTTTCTTTAGTTATCGCATTTTGTAATTTTATGTATATAATCCTGGGTAAAATTCTGCTGGTAAAATATATTCAGGAAAAATATGGCTGTTTGGGTGCAGTATTCAAGAAAACATGTACCATACTGCCAGCAGCCATTATCCTATTCTGCTGCTTATTGGGACATTTCGGCCCTGTGCTAAGAACATAAAGGGCCTTTTGTGTACAAAAGAGGGCCAATTTACAAGACAAAATCTGTTGTGTTTTTATGCAAGCTTAGTTAAGCTTCAATTAAAATTACTATCTTGTGGACTTATATGATACCATTCTAATTCTGTGATAATACTGATATATTTACACTGCATTCAAATTCAGACTCCTCCATTTTAGGACTAGGTTCACATTTTTGAAGCTTTATATATTTATGTGTATCCAATTAAGTGAATAATTCCATTTCTGTTTTGAAGAAAAATCTGAATATATACCAATAGATGTTTGTGAAGAAAATAAAAAAGTAAAATAATCGCTAAATTCATATGATTTCTTTTGTGACATATGACCACATGGCCACATGGCATTCTGTTTCGCTTTCAATTTTCCAAGAATTGTAAAGCAAGGAATGCATTAAAATATTCTTGGCCATTAGTTTTGTTTGTATTGTTACAAACTATCTTCTTATTGGGCTCCCTGACTTGCTGCTTTGATCTTTGAATTGCAATGTCAAATGCAAAAATGCAACTTTGGTGTAAAGTTGCGTGACGTAATATACAGGCACATTCATTTAGCCTATTTCCACTTGTATCACTCAGGGATTCGATGATAAGGGATCATTTATATCTGCAGCATTTCTGCTGCATTGGCATTAGAAACAGGGACCAAATAAATATTTTTGTGGGAATCACCCAAACCTGAGAGAAATGTTGGTATATGTTTAGGCTCGGAATGCAGTAGCAGCACTGGCTGATAGACCCACACAACCAGCTACAGCTCGACCATCACGACAAGCTGCCCCCAGTAACTCTCGCGACTCACAGGCCTCGGCTCAACAGGACGAGGAACGTGAGTGTGTAGTAAACAAAATGGTCAGGTTTTACAGTCTCTGGCCCCAATAATTTGGGGAAACCAGAGTTTTGCAAGTAAGAGTGAAATTCATGTGCTGTTAAATTAATAAACAAGATAAGATCAGTTATAAAATTGACTGAACTTTTGTTTAAAACATTACGGATATAGAAGGTGTACGTTTCAGCAGCATTATTTTTGCTTGTTTCTTAAGACGTTATTATAATTATAATTAATCTAGAATATAATTATCTCTTGTATGTAAATGATACTAGGACAGTGTCTCTTGTTCACAAATATACCTTGTGTTATATGTTATTTTAACAAGTACAACTCATTATTTGTGTTGTATGTACATGTATGACCAGTGTTTATTATGCATACAAGTACATGTATGACGTATCTGGTGTGTATACACATATGACTTGTATTACATGCATGTTAATTGTTATGACACAAGAATTCAAACTACTTTTGATTTATTCTGCCTCAGAGTTCCAGTTTTTTGTTAGAAATATTTTCCTACCGGGTATGTACAAATTCTACAATTTGCTTGATATTGAAAGTAGTCTTCATTATGTGTTTCAGGGGGAATAAAGCTTGGTTTGGGAGACTTCATCTTCTACAGCGTGTTGGTGGGAAAGGCCTCCTCTTACGGAGACTGGAACACCACTCTGGCCTGTTTTGTTGCCATTCTTATCGTAAGTGTTGTAACATTTAATAAGCAAAATATATTTGATAAAGTTCCTTTGATTCTATTTGTTCAACGTAATATGCCTTTATATAAATAAGATTAACTCATTCACCCCTGAAGACACACTTGAACTCTTCTAATTCAAAGATTGGACTAGTTCATTATAACATTTCAGGGGTGGATGAGTTGATATAATGGATTATATGTAGGTATAGGGAACAGGGAAGATTCTAAAAACGGGTGTAGAGTTTGGGTTAGAACAGAGGACTTATCACCACAGTCATAACATGGAATTTAAAATCCCCACCCCATAACAGAGGTTTATCTAGGATTTATGGGAAACTACATTTGTTTTTTAAATTGAGGGGAAAATTCAATCTCATGAGAGAATTTTTTTCTGCATCCAAAACTTGCTTTTGAGAGAAAAAATGTAAAACAGCACTAAAAATTTAAGAAATATAAGTATTTCACAAAGTTTTAACAAAACCTAGGGGAATTTTTAACAATTTACTGAAATTCAAGGTCACAGGGGTCAAATATGTTAAAAAAAATTAAACAACTTCTTTTCAATAACCAAAATGCCCTGGGTGATGATATTTGGCCAGTAGCAAACTTGGATAAAGGGCTACAAATTTTGTTCAAATGAATGACCTTCACCCATATTCAAGGTCACAGGGGTCAAATATTTTAAAAACTTTAAACAACTTCTTCTGAATTACCAAAATGCCCAGGGTGATGATATTTAGTCAGTAGCATACTAGGATCAAGGGCTACCAAGTTTGTTTAAATGTATGACCTTGAATCACATTCAAGGTCACAAGGAGCAAATATGTTCAAAATATTTCAACAACTTGTTCTGAATAACCAAAAGGCTCAGGATGTTGATATTTAGTCAGTAGCATATGCTGAGATCAAAAGGACTACTTTGTTTGTTAAAGTGAATGACTTTGACTTATATTCAAGGTCACAGGGGTCAAATTTGTTTAAAATCTTTAAACAACCTCAGATGAATAACCATTGGTTCCAGGATGTTTATACTTTGCAAGTTGCATCCTGAGATGAAAGGCTATACAATGTGTTCAACATAATGACTTTGTTCGACTTTCAATCACAGGGGTGAAGTGTTTTAAAAAAAAATAACAAGGTCTTTTGAATGAATTTTAATCATAAATACTGATATTGCCTGTAGCTTTATTTTAGATTACTTTTAAGGTCACAAGTGTGAGTTTTATACCAGGTGAGCGATGCAGGCCCATTGGGCCTCTTGTTTAATGTAACTGTTTAAATTCATTCTTTCATAATGCATAAAGATGTATATTATATGTTGTTTTAAATCATACAGATGTTTTTGGTATGTCTTCCTTTAATTATTCATCCTTTTCTTTTATAGGGGCTGTGTTTCACTCTACTGTTGCTGGCGATATTTAAGAAAGCTCTTCCAGCCCTTCCCATATCCATAACCTTTGGATTGATATTCAATTTTGCAACAAGTGAAATAATGGCACCATTTTTGGACCGTCTAGCTTCAGGACAGGTGTATGTATAGTGCTAGCCTGTGGGTATAGTTCTGATTACTTACCTGTAAGTGTGTGTAGTTCTGATTACTTACCTGTAAGTGTGTGTAGTTCTGATTACTTACCTGTAAGTGTGTGTAGTTCTGATTACTTCACTTATCGGTAATGTGAAGAAATGATAACTGCAAAGTGTGTACAATAATGTTCTAACTACATGCGGGACCATGTATGTTTTGTAGATTTACACATAAATGCAAATGTGTCTATTTTTGTTCTTAATTGTATATGAATCAATGTAAAGGCAAATCCTTTCAAACATGCTTGTTGTTTTCAGCTTGATATGTTCAGTAGTTACTGTTCATCAACATACAGACTGAGTTTAACTATGTTTTACATGATCAAATATGTGGATTTTTTTCATCAGTGTTCATTAATTGTGCTCTGAGTTCAGGTGTCATATAACATTTGGAACAGGATGTGGTTAAAATTTGTCGAAAGATGTTAAAGTGGAAAATAAATTTTGAATGATAATTCTGATAAACCCCCGATACATCTCCACGAATTCGTCTCTGTTTATTATATCTTTGTTTTGTGTTAGTCATATTGATGTTGTACTTGTTTAATGTGATGTACAGTCAAACCTGCCCCTGTAACCACCTCCATTTGGAATCCCGGAGGGGGGTCTCTTAATGCATGTTTGACCATACTAGGTCACGACTGCCTTCTTGTCAAGGATGTTCTTGAGGTGTCCTTCAGATAGGTATTCAACTATGTGAGATTATGATAATGCTCCTTAATTTAATTAAAAAATAGGAATTTGTTTCAATGTTGACAGTGATCTTGATGTTATAACGTCTTGACAACTGTTGTGTTGAACATTTTAAGTTCTTTGTGTACCATAATGTTTAAGATTATATATATTTAATTTTCTGCAAGGTTTCTTTGAATGTAATGTAACTATCTAACTAGGGAACTATACACCAGGACAAGTCACAAGGTGCTACCTGAGAACTGATGAGATGTTAAGAGATTGTTCAGTACACAGGTAAAATTTAGTACAATATTAAGCTTATTGGTGCAGAATTAAGATCAGGTCTTTCCTATGTTCCTTCATACATACACATTGACTTTGTGAGACAAGCACAATGAAAGCATGTCACCAGTTCATACACATCATGGGAAATAGGTACTGTGCCTGATGTATCTTTCACAGGAAAGAATAGAAAACAAAAGTCATTTTTACATTTATTAAGAAATTTATTGCTGATTTTTTTATTGTCAGGTATGTTTAGGACTTCTGCCTTATGTCATGTTTGCTTAAGGCCTGAATGTTCAGTAACTTACATGGCATGATGAGGGAAGCAAGCCTCGTGCAAAAAAATAAGTTAACTGTAAATTGGTGCATCTAAAATTTTACTGAGGTTCATTTCTCATCATTTGCCCACATAAGATTTTTTGTTTCTTTTTCGTCTTTGGTGCAACATTACTAAATCAGTCATGTTTTGAATGCCGGTATCATAAATAAATTCGTAGATTTTTCATCATTAAACCTTATAAATTGAAGGGGAAACAAATTGGAAATGTAAATATTGTAATTTAATTAAGGTAAACATGGAAAATATCACAAGTAGAAATTTTCGCGTTTCAAATGTTCAAATTGATTGAAGTGTGGACATTTTTGCGCTGGGAAAGATCCTGAAATATTTATCTATAATATATATATATACGCATGTGAATAATTTGGGTTATTTTAATAAATGCGAATATTGTGAATAACTTTTACAGCAGTCATCGTTATCAGTATCAAATTATATAATGCTTCAATTTGCTGCTTAAAATATTTTTGCTGCTACATCATATGTTCCATACGTAGATTTTGTTGGATATTTGTTACACAGCATTGAATGTTTGTACATACAATGTATATTACATCATGGTATCCACATTACATCATGGTGTCCACATTGAGATTTTGTTTAGTGATACATGTAATTAATATGACCTGGTTATGTAAACTGTCTGGTGTAAATATGGTTTACATTACATTTTAGATATTAGCAAAACAGTTAAGAGATTTTTGACATATACAAAAGCGAGATCATTTGTTGTTGAAAAAATATCTGAAGTAATAAATGCAACAATAAAATATAAATAATACACACAATATTTCTCATTATTAAATGCTAGTGACAATAAATCATGACATTTAAGTTGTAATAAAAATGATGGAGTCTCCTACCACAGTGAGTTAATTGTCTTTGGTGTACAGTGTGGGCAAGCCGAGTCTCTTGTAGACAATTACGAACCAGACAATCATTTAATCCTCCCATTAATCAACTATAAGATACACCCATGTGTTTAGGGCTTTCAGTTGGCCATTGTTATTTTGTTGTTTCGGAACTGGAATATCTTTTACCATGAAATATGGAGGGCACATGTTAAATAGATAGGCCCGACTCCAAGAGGAAGTGATTTATCAGAGTTAATCAGTGACCATGTAATTATCAACTCCCACCCCTAGTCCTTAATTCTATACTTACCATATTTGGAACACATAAAGACATAAAGGGTAGTCGGGTGGTGCAGTGGATAGCGCACTTGCCTTTCACCATGGCAACCAGGGTTCGACTCCCTGATCGGACGTGAAAAGGTTTNTTATTTAACTTGTTCCTTTAATAAATTATATTTGTACCTGTCAATTGGGCTCTTGGTTGATATTTAGAGTTTTCGCATAGTAAATTAGACTGCTAGACTATTTCTGACCATTGTTCTCGGACCTGACATAGAGGAGATATAACATATTCAACCGTGATAATCCAGGATCCAGGAAGCACACTATATTGGTGAAACAAGAACCCCATACTTCTTCGACGGCGGCCGGTGAGACGTGGGCACCGGACGCGCGCTCGTTACAATATTAATTGGATAAGATAATACAAGTATAATACAGAAAATATTGATATCTTGAACATGTATACGTATGAACCAGCGACATTTGATAATCATATGTGATCAGTTTTGAAATCACTGCTTAGGCATTTTATTTTACCGGATTTCGATTACACCGTGATAACGACAAAGAGGCAAAATTTGCCTTCGTTTATAAACCAACTTCATCTGTACAGGTCGTTTGGCCCGAGTGTTTCTCTACATCAGCTTAAGATGATTCGGTCCCAACCTTTTATAGTCCGTATAATCTTGTTTCAAAGCTCCAAACAGTTTGCGTAATGCTCGAATGAAATAGAATAAAAAAACGTCGACTGAAAGTATCACAAAATAAACTTGAAATGAAAACCGTATACTATAATGATACTGTACAGTTGGGATATTATACTGATACAGATGTACTGTACAGTTGGAATATTATACTGATACAGATGTACTGTACAGTTGGGATATTATACTGATACAGATGTACTGTACGTCAACGACACAAATCAATATTCAGTTTACTCAAGTTTGACAAAAGCGGTTTTCTCACAATTCCATTCTCCCTCTAAGCCTACCTGTCTCCTTCCATAATTATGCTTAATTCTCATCATTCATGGCTTTTAGTTACAATCAATACCGTGTTCAATTGTCCTTATTTACGACAATAAAACTGTTTAAACTAAACTACCGTTAGCTACTTGTGATCATAAGTCGTAACATTTACTCTCCAACACACACACACATACACACACACAAGAGAACATATTTTCAATCGTCTTAATTGAAATAATATCAATGATAACATGTTGCCAAATAACACACAAAACAACGTGATATTCTATCTAGCACAAGTTACCGAACGTGAAAGAGCACATATAATAAAACATTTTATAAATGACACTTATTATTATCTTGATACAGTATTGAAGTTTGTGGATACAAATGTTGTTTTGCCTCTGTTTAGTCAGAATTCCAGGATATACTATAATGATACTGAATGTTTACAGTTGGGTGATTATCTGCGACACAAATCAAAATCGGCTTTACTCGAGTTTTGCCCATGGCAATTTTCATTGAGATACACATGCTTTCTATCAAGACTTACCTGTACCATTTTCCATCTAGCGTCCTCCATCTATCCATAGCTTTTACAATCAATATCGTCGGCTGCTTAATAGGCATAATTATGTTTTACTAAACCCCCTCCACAGCATGCACGCGCACACGCACACAGTGACATATTTTCCGCCATCACAATTGTGAAATTATCAATGATAACCTGTTATAATATAGCACACTAGAATTATGTGAATTCTGTCAAGCACAAGGTACCAAACGTGAAAGAACATAGAATAAAAAAGGATCCTTATGGCACTCACTTAGTACAGTATTGCATTTTGTAACTATATATATTGTTTTGCTTCTGTGCAATTATTATTTTCATGAGGTATTCTTAGAAAATTGTGTTTTTAGCTACATACGTATGTACCCATTATTACACAATATTTAGAATCTCCATCCCCCCGTCAAGTTTGTACAAACTGATGAAGAATTCAACTATTTAATGTTTATGTCAACGGAGAAAAAATAGTTCCTTTATACGAATCTATTGATGTTTTACTTTACCTGTAGATATACACGGTTGTAACTTTCTACTGACTTTATATTAGGACATCATAATCAAGGCCAAATTGGTTTGACCATTAAACATTTCACACTTTGCAATGAACACACTGCTTAGTTGGTAGTATTCGCTGGGAATTTGATATCGCTATATACGCGGTCATCAATTATAGCAAGAAAGTAAATGCTTAGCGAATAGCAATACCCTGAATTATGCCGAATAATGAAGATTGAACAATTCATTATCGCATTTTACCTTAAATTCACAAAACACTTATATAATAAATTCCATTGCACAGAGGTACTTTCGTGAGCGCTATATTTTACCTGACTGTGTTGCGCTAAATTTATTTCCCGCGAACTAGTTCTGATCAAAACAACTGTGAGATATAAGTCCTGAGAAATTAAACAACTATACAGTATGTACGTGGTAGAAATTCATTTGTCAATTTTCTTATTTTGACGTCAGGTAACAACGCTTTGCGACGTCATCTTCAATGGTGACGCCATCAATCATGGCAACTGTTTTCCCCATCATCAAGGGAAACCTGTTGTTTTACAAATAAAATCTAAACTTTGTGGAAGAAAAAAGGTTTCCAAACTCTTGATGGCTGGTAATCTTATTTTTTTCTAACTTCCATTAATTTATTTTCCCAATTGTAAAAGCCAGTCGGTAAACTTCGTGTCTTTATATGATTTGAACATTAACTGACTTGGTTTAAATAAACATAATAACCAACCATCGCTAGTTGGAGAACCTCTCTATATAAGTGATTTACTCGACAAGCCGGTAAAGACAGTGATCGTTGTAAAGGAGGAGCACATATACAAAAGGACAAGTTTGGTAATATAATGAGGTGATATTAAATCCGTATCGTCAAATCAGTCCGGCATGAATTTTGTGACTTCTCTGAGCGTTGACTGAGCTGATCCTATAGTAAAAACGATGACGGAGAAATGTTGCTTAACCACATTCCATCTCCGGTCTCGATCAGCAGGGGGCGTGTTCTCTATCTCAAACAGGGCGTCCACCAGCCCTGGAAAACTGCTACCTGCGTAGGTGTTCACACTACTTTGTGCGAACAAGATGTGTCTGGGGATAGTAAAACACGTGCATGTTAAAAGTATTTATCATTGCTCATTTCAATTGGTCTGAATTCCAAGTACTATATATGTGGGTTCTTTATAAAACGTCAACTAATTGTTGTTATAATCTAATTTGAAAGAACACGTACTGTTTATAAACTTTGATTTCAAATAAAAAGATGATACAACAATAATGCTAGATATCTACAGTTTGAGACCACGTACGGTATTTACAATGGTGGTTTTGTGACTGCATGGTATGCTTTATATCTTGTAAACGTCAAACTCTATATCAAACGTGACGAATTTAATATCATTCTCACCTTTCCCTTCCTCAATAATAACATTCAGCCTAGATTGTTTCACTACTCCAGAACCCGTGATAAGTATCAGGAGTTTTGGATAGACACGTCCTAGCTGATGTGTTTGCGAACAATAAACTACTTAGCCAATGTTTTCTACCGAAGCGCCTTCAATTCACGAAATATTACGGTCGTCATCACGACCTGATATCCAATAATAATTAAGATCCCAGTGTGTATCATGATAACAAGACTTCTTCACTAAGTCTTAAACTGTTGGTGACCTACGTACTCTCATGATTTTAACTGATGATATCATAACATGCACCACATGTGGTTCCGAAAACGCCTTCCCTTCCGGAACGCATGGTTTTGGTCTCCTTTTATGTTAAATCATCTGTTACATGGCTTCGATTTCTTCGTACTTCGCATAGGCAAAGATGATTTTGATAAGATTGCATTTTTGTTTCGGTTCATGATGTTTTTCTTTTAGTTTTGATACCTTGTCAGTGGCTGTATCGCCTTTGGGTTTATATCTTGTCTTTGTTGACGATAAAGTGACCCCCATCCACTTTTTGTCTATTATACTTTACTATGTATTATGTTACCTGGAATTTCTACCCTATACTTGAAGGACTGATCAGTACTTCGGTCTTGCGTTTCCATATGCTAATAAAGGTATAAGAAATACAAAATTATATACCTGGTGAGAGGCCTCCCTGGGAGTCCAGCCGGGTCAATGAAGGCCCTTTCCAACTGAATCAGCTGGTCGTTAATTTGTCGAATGGCAAACGGACTAAAAAAAAGAAAGGTTCGCACCGTCATCAAATTTAACAACGACAACACGTCTCAAGAGCAGTAAGCATAGAACAGGAACAATCCTGAATTATTTCCTCTTAATTTTCGTTTTTTCATCTTATATTAGCATTTGTGTACAATGTTAAATACAATATATACCTGGAGGAAGGCCTATATGTATTAAATTTAAAGAAGCTGATATATATTGATTTAGTTATTATTGACGAATGCCTGCAATGAGCCTCTCTAACCAGTGGTAGAATGCTGTTGTCGCATACCTGTCCATATTTTATCTGTTATATCATTTCCCGTGCAGACAAAGCCTTATTGACACTCACTTGTTTTTATTGACCTTATCTACCAAATCATGGAACTTATTGGCCTCAGCGGTAAAGTTCTGCGTTGCTTGTTCTAGCCATTCTGTTGAGAAAAAAACCCATTGACATGTACCAATTAGCGATCGGTCGCAGCGATTGAGAAATGCAGCTAGTATGAATTCAAACATACTCGTGTCCAGATCTAACCATTGCCAAAACTCATAAGATGAAATCGCGTTTTTGACGGCTTGATTGTCTCCATTCATTGCATTTGATACATACTAGACTACACGTTGGATTAAAACGTCCCCATGTATTATACATACACATAGCTACTCGTTCACAATTAGAATATATACTCCTTATTTTCAAAATTTGTAAAGTAACATACCAAACCGAATACCATTGTCCCTGAGTAGTTTGCCATAGTCTTTGTCCAGAACACGGACCAGTTGTTCAAGTTGTTTAGCAAAATCAATGACATCGAAGGGTATGATGAGACTGTCCGCCAGATTACGACATATTTCTGATACTATCTGTCCTAGAGTCTCGTGATGCTGTGCAATGAAAAACAACAAGAAAATATAAAAGTGTCAACAGAATCATAATCCGAAATTTAAATCGATAAAACAAGGGCAAAGTATAAACAAACAAAAAAATGCACAGAAACCATTGAAAAGTATGAGGGGAAAAGACCACTCGTTCCGGAAAGGTAAGCGTCTTTACCAACCATGTGATCTATTTTAAATACACGTAATGTCACGTCCTCATGGGAAGAACCAATGAAGTGACATCGTAACAACAAGGCATAACTAATGACCATGCTAAAAGACACGCTATTGAAGATCATAAAACAATAGAACTTTAAAAGTCACATTTCCCAATGAGATCATGATGGCAATAATAAAACTTGTCGATAGCCTTCATCAACCATCATCTATAGGAATCCTGTGTTTAAGTTTGTCCGTCAGCAAGTCGTTATATTTTATAGAAATAATGTATTTCGGAGCAATCTGTTAATACCGTTTCAACAATATAATATATAATTGGGAGATGGCTTAATACAAGAGCCTACTCTTGTTGCCAGATCCCTAATATTACAGTATGTAAAATTATATATTATGTACAGCATATTTGTAAATATAATATTGTTTAAACCAACAATATAATAAGAGGTTTTTAAATTTATAGTTGATTATAGCATTCTGTGAAAATGTTGTCATCATAACATAAGTATAAGGGAATGGTTGTACCATTACACACTGCCGTCCATTCTGACCGGGACTACGCAGGTAGCACCTCGATTGAAGTGGACATTGCAGACTATGATAAACGGTACCAAAACAAATTTCACTCCAGCTGTAAACCAATGACAGGGATTGACAAAACTTCCTTACGCACACGCTTACTTCAATTACAATAAATCGTAAAAATGACGTCCAAGGATTGTAGCATTGATGTTAACCTAATCATGTGATGTTTTACCAACCAATGTCAGAACCCCACAGCTAATTAACAGTGTGACTGGTGTAAAAGACTCAAAGTAAAACAAGGTAAAATATATATATACATTTACTATCACACTTGATATATCGTAATTTGTATTTCTCATAAGATTTTCACCAATTCAGACTGTCGTCTCGTTGAAAAATATTGACATAATTTTGTAGATTGAAAAAGAAAATTATTTGTCAGATCCTATAATTCATTATAAAGCTCTCTGCTCGAGACTTCTTACGAACGGTTAAGATGGTAACTGGTATAATCAGACAAATAATTAAATTACGACTTTAAAAAACAAGCAAACATTATGCTTTTTAGACCTTAATATAAACATACAAGGACAACACGTTTTATACCACATACGATGGTGAGGACGGCGGACTAATCCCAAACACGTGATTACCTTGAATCCTCTGTCAATGAGCTCGTCCATGGCGTAGAAGGTCTCATACACAGAGTGGTACAGTGGGTAGGAACCAAGATGATACTTTTTCTGCAAAATGTAGTAATGCCCTTCGAATTTTTACATAAGACGATGAATTTCGTTAAATATTTCACTAACCAAAACGGTTTTCAAACTTTCTTTAATACTAAAGGCTGGATGGATTGTCGTGATGAGAAATGTGTTTGGGGACATTTATTTCCTATGCCAATGGGTGTCGTGACATAGATGCCATGGAATAGAAATCAGAAAGGTCGAAAAAAGTACAAATGATTGTGGTAGTACATCAAGTTTTGTCCCTAAAATGTCCACCTAGAAGAGGACGAAAGAGAGAGTCCCCCCGATTTTGAATGGATATAATAAATAGAACCATGACAGGTCAGCAAGGGGCACGCCCTGTGCTTGACCACACTCCCGTGGTTTATACTAGTAACAGTAACATTGGAATTTAAAAACCCAATTCATCAAATCACCATGTCATATTTCAAAAAGATTAGTCTTTTGGATTCGAAGATAATCTCCGGAAAAGAAAGTGTAGACAGACAGTAAGAAAGAAGGATACATTTATTATTTCAGAGCATCCGCAACTCAAATGCGGTGCCCTTACGAAGTTGATAGCTACCATATACATATAGACTATTACAACAATTACAAAAAGGTTGAAGTCACCACCATTAAATATAATACCTCCTGACGTACTTACTTTATCGTACGTATAAGACATGTCAGCGCAAGGAAGTCCCACAGACTGCACAAACCTGGCATAATCACTTCCGGCTCCAAGGAAGGGGATCCTGTCAGGAAGACATTGTTGCGGGTATTATCTCTGTATTTAGTATATGTCCAGCGTTGTCGTTAGAAATGGACATACACAGAAAGATTGTAAACGTATTGAGTTCGATAAGAACGTACACAATCTTACTTACTATATGTATGATTTAGTTGATATTTAAGTATCAAAATCTTAGTATGATTTTGTTGTTATCTTAATATCAAAATCTTGTGTGATTTTATTGTTTATATAATATCTAAATATTTGTATGGTTTTGTTGTCATTTTAATATTGAAATCTTTGTATGATATTGTTGTTATTTCAATTTCTAAACCATTGTATTATATTGTTGTTATTTCAATATCTATTTTCTTTGGTATGATTTTATTATTTTAATATCGAAATCTTTACATGATTTTGTTCTTATATGCACATCAAATCTTTTTATGGTTTAATTGTTATTTTTTAATCTTAATCTTTTAATGATTTTATTGTTATTTTGATGTATAAACCTTTGTATGATTTTGTTGCGATTTGAATATCTTATACACATGTAAGTATGATTTTGTTAACTTCTTACAATATCTACCCTTAAGGTTAATATACTGCACTAGCAAAGTTTCAGTTATACGCTCTTTTCTTTGTGTAATATAGATGGTGTACATATTATTACAGTGGACTTGCCTATTCTTCAGTTTTGTGTAATGCTGTACATATTTACATTGTACTTGTCTATATGGATGATGGTGTGACGTACTTGGGTAAGGAAGAACCGTTGGTGGGGCTTGTGCTGAGCCATTTATCATACACTGTCGGCATACCTTTGGCGAGGTCCTCTTGGTTAGGATTTTTCACCTAGAAACATGACCATTATACACAATTACAATAGTTACAGTCAAAAGAAAACGTCAACTCAACATTTCATTATAATGAGATGTATACTACCAAGATCGTCCAGGGAAATCACTGTGGTAATATATTGAAATGGAAATATTATAAATCATCTATGGATATCATTCCTTTATGATACATCCAACTGATAACGATGATGCATTCGAGTTATTTATCGTTATTATGTATGCTCTTTTATTACAAATTATTCCACAGTCCTGGTTCATACCAGTTGGTAAAACGTTATCTGTTAACATGATATATATATTTACAATAGGTAAACTGTGGTAAAAAACATGTTATGACATATAAATCTTACCTTTTTGGTAGCGTCGTACAAACTGCGGTACATAAGTGGAGTCGCTTTTATTTCAACCGTGTAATTTCCTGACACGAGATAATGGATGAAACCATAATGTCGATTTACAATATATATTCAGACGTTAAACTTCATATGACAACAATACTCCCCTTATCATATAACTTGTATCGAATCACTGCACTGGTATATTATTAGTCCGTAGTAGATAATTGATACCATTGATTTTGTATATAGCGACAACAAAAACTTTGTGCTATGGAAAATATTATATTAATAATACGTTTTCATTTTGACAGATTAAATCGATGCCTTGAAACAACGATTGCGCAATGAAGTTTTTCTTATAAACACCTATTGCTTACAGTTAAAACCGGGAACTTTGACTTAAATTGAGCAACATGGATTCAATACTAAGGTTTAACTTGCACACTATTATAAATTCATCGGGGAACAATTGGCAAGGTGTTACTTATGAAGGTTTTCATTTCTGTTGAACAGCTTTGGGCAATGTTTAAGAATTGTCCATTTTGTTACGAATGTTAACATTGACGTAAAACGTCCTAATCTAGCACCTGTCTGTTTGGGGTCTAATATCCTCGCAACAGTCAAGGTCATATGAAGACGGGTGTCTAGGTAGACACCACCGAAAAGAAAAAGAAGGGAAGACAGAATGGAAAGGACAGATCCTGAGTGTTGCAATTTGAGCAACAGGTCAATTTTGGTCTCTTCGACGTTTATATTGTTAAAGACACTAAAGAAATATCCCCGGAATCTGCAGGGGGCCCCACGTAAGATGCCTCTTACGACATGCACCGAGATACCACAGGTTTAATTTCCCCTGAATCTGCACAGGGATCCTAATCTAGTAAAATGTAACTTTTTACCTAGTCTGACGATGCTCACTAAAAGCACCAGTACTTTATACGAACCTTCTACGGCGATGTCCACATTGACGTAAGCCAGGGAACGGGCGGCCAGGTTTTTCACGTATTGCTTAATATAATATAGGTGAAGATCACATAAATTTAGCATGTATAAACCTAGGTTAAATAATTACATACCACATACTAACCACATACAGTACAAACAAATTAGCTCCATGTTTTGATTGTCTCTGGTACAATTCTCGAATAAATAAATTAAGAGATGTAAGCAAGGATTAAGCTAATGAAACAAAAATAAATAATGTATTATTTTATTTAAACAATATGGAAATTTCATCGATTTCAGTCAATAATTACCGAAATAATTTCGAAATAAGCTATCAACCTTACGGAACATTTAATCAGCATACTAATACAAAGACATGTACCCGATCAGGAGATGATAAAGACTCTTACCTCTATCCACTCGCTGGAGCCCACAAGCCCGTACTCCTCCGCACCCCAACTACAGAATATGATGGTACGCCGCGGCCGCCATTTTCCTTTAAAGAACACACTCCATCGTCAATTATTAAACCAAGTAGATAAGAGCAACAATTATAAGTTATATTCTGCAGGTATTTTGACAATCTAAACTTATAAACTGAAGAAGATATGATATTTATGAATACAAAAATGTGTTGAAACGTCTGACGTTAAATAAGGATATAAAAAGTGCCATATTAAATTACAAAATAATAAGATTGCGTGTAACTAGGGACAGATAATGAGATATAATGTTACTCATGCTAATATAAACGGCTTTTTAGTTTACGAGGATAGGCCAAACTAAGAAGTCAAATATTTCGAACAATCTACTCCCCGGCGTCCACGTTCTTTCTTGGTTTGGCATTTAATCTGAATTTTTCTTCTTCAAATATTGAATTTAATACGACCATCAGTTACCAATCAAATATTTTGTAAATGGTAAGTAAACATCCTTTCAGATTTTTTTTTTTTTTAAAGTATCATTGCGCTGATTGACACAACTGCTGTCGCAAATAAATCATATATCTGTTTTATTTCATTACACATCATTAGTAACAGCAGTAATCGATGCGTGACAAATACAGGCAGTCGGTACCTGTCGAGATGAGCTATCGATCACAAAAAACGTGCAGACAGACTTTCGTCGTCCACACAATCAGCCTGGTTTTGTCAGGATTATAGCTCCTATGATTATTAATGAATATCGTATGAAGGAGGTACCTCGATCACGTTGCCTGTGGCTTTACCGCCGAGTCATATACAAACTACTGGACAGCGAGTGCCTACTGTACAGCCTTCTCTTACACTGAATACAGTGTATCGGAGCGATAGTAAAATTCCACAGATTGATATGGTTAGTATACACGTGAATAGTTATTTTGGACACATTGAGGGTTGTAGCTCCTTTATACATGTATATATATATTTTGCCGTTCGTATGGGTTGGCTGACTTTTGAGGTACGCGCACAAGCGTCTTGTGGTTATTATATAATCACATTTGATGGTGTTTTAACAATTGTTATCGACAAAGAACAATTAATGTACCCAGTCGTACAACGTCAGGGATATATATGGTCGATACGGACAAGTTCACCTCATTGAAATAGGTCGTCAATAGCTAATGGCATATGTTGTCCCTTTAGAAAATGAAATGAAAGTGACTTACACGTGGTCGAGATGGTGTTTCCTATTTTACTAGGCTGTCGAATACCATGGTGACATGTGATCGACTTAAACAGGGTAACCTTGCTTTAGCAGGTTGTTCAACACCATGGATAGCATGGTTGCTACAGTGACGAGAGGCTTTCTATATTTACCGGATAGTCCATCACTATGGATACACATAGTCACCAATAACAGTGTTTCCTTATTGTACCAGGTTGTCCGTCACCATGGATATGCGTGGTCACTGATAACAGTGTTTCCTTATTTTACCAGGTTGTCCGTCACCATGGATACGCGTGGTCACTAATAGCAGTGTTTCATTATTTTACCAGGTTGCCTATCACCATGGATACTCGTGGTCACCGTAAACAGGATTACCTTGTTTCACCAAGTTGCCCATTGCCCTTGAGACTTCTTTCATAACGGCCGTGCCACTTGAGGGGTCAATGGCACCAAACACCCACGCGTCTCTATGGTTACCCATCAACACGTACCTGTCTGAAATCGATTTAAACATTCATGTTACAATATATTATATTTCTGCCATCACTCAAATATGATCCTTTTTAATATTGATCCATGGACAAATTCTCTAGCTCTTACTGTTGGTAGCAATTAAAATTCAAGCAAAGGTGTTTACCCAGGTGTATCAAAGCTTTGCAACGCCGTGATCAGGCGTATTCAATTTTTACCGGTGATGAGATATTCCTTACACCAAATGGCTCTATAGGTATCAGGGTGTAATGTAGATGTCGTTGTTATTCTGTCACTGTTGAAAACAAGCATTTTCGTACTGTATTACAGGTTGCATTGTGTTGGGAAACATACTTGTTGTGGTGGCTTGTGACAACTAGAACATATCGTATAACCTGCGCTTGCCATTCGATACCTCATACAGTATACATTGATAGACCGCTACACGACATGTAGTACCTGGCTCTATAGCTCCACGGAGGATCCCAAACGCATTAAAGGTTCGACGCATCGCGTTCTGAGTAGAAATAAACATTCGGATCTTCCTGAAATAACGATCAAAATATCAACACAAACATCAAATGCTATTTCCATTGAATATATATGACATTTCATAATGCCTCCATATCATTGTCTGAAAAGTCGACGGTATCGATGTAAATCATCTTATTCATTTCATATTGACAATTTTTAACATTTATTTAGAAACATATGTATGCAACACGATATTCAATTTATGATAAATAACCTCATTTCAGTTAACTTTAACAATGCCTGGATGTCACGCGTGTCTTGACGTACCAACCGGTCTCCTTCAGTTTGCCGCCATATCTGTAAGTAAGGTTAAGCTTGCCTCTCCAGTCCTCTGGTACCACATCACCAGACATCTGCCTAGATAATTTAAAACGGTATGTTTCAATGTCCATCTTATTAGGATGAACCATATATCAACATGATGTACACGTCGTAATAACAGTAATATACAACCTAACGCCAAACACAAAAATAAGTTGCTGTCATACAAGTGACGCCAATACCTTACGTAAAACTAGCCAATTGTTTACGTAGCAATTGCGTGTAATGCCTAATAAGCAATTTCACTGGCTATGAGATTCTTGTAACCTGGTATTCTTACTTCATGGCCTTCAAATATGACATCACAATAAGACGTCAATAAGTATGTGACGTTTTATGCAAATCCTCAGCGGCAAATAAGCAGCCTTTCCTAAGGGAACGTTTCCGTATTGTTCAACAAAAAACACCATAAATGACGTTAAATTGATTATTACGGAAAGAAATTCCACGACAAATGATAGTTGTTTATCCTAACTAACTCTTCTTCAATTGTAAATTTTCACCTTATGTTACTCGGAAAACCTTGTCTTAATGAAAATTATGAAAATACATGAGTTAGATAAAAATAAAATAAAAATAACAACCATAACTCGTTGTGGACTCTCTACTGATCATGGAATATACAAATCCGCTTACTCGAGGATTTTCTGGGCAATTCCATATCCAATAGGATGAACAGGAATAGTTGGCAGCTGGGCCTCTGGACTGTCCTCTTGGATTCGGAATGCCGTGTCTGGAGACATAATTAATAGAATGGGTTATATGTCGAATCACTCGGGGCTTGGTCACATTCACACTCATGTTTTATATTCGGCCTATTGCCACAACTAAGTACATGTATACTGTGTATAGTTCGTGAGAAATGTATTTTTATAATTTAAATCTGAACAGGTAGCAATTGTTTATGAACATCTAAGAATAAAATGCTTCTTGTAGACTACATCATAACATGTTTATGTCGTATTTTCTATGTCACATCACTACTTTAATCAGTCTATATTGCAACATTACTGACGTCAACGAACCTGTTGCAGGGTATCCCGGGGTCAAAGGGTCACCAGTTCGTAGATATGTTGTACCCCGTTGGGCCCCTGTTGGAGGAAGCCACCAGTCATCTGGGTAGACACGTGACGTGTCACCGTCCAATGTGTAGTCGGCAGGGTCGGAGAAGATGATAATGCCTATAGCTCCATGTTGGGCTGCGATCTTCACCTACAATGAACATTAAGGGAACGTCACCTGAAGCGATCGCAGTGCGAACAATACAAAACAGCATAAAGGACAACGACCTTTTTCTAAAGAGGAAGCATTGCCGAGCATCATGCTGAAAAACAAACTTCAAGTACGAGTTATATTTTCTTGCAGCTTGATAAGTGGTTTGCGTGATATCAATTGGAAATGCTTTTACGGTCCAATAAACAGGAAATGACGTACAAACTTTGTCAAAGAAAGATACTTTGTCAAGTATACATACCTTGTCGCCCCTGAATATCTTGCCGTACCGTGCTATGACGACACTTCCGGTGACGTTCAGAGAGTTGTTGGTATCTGTGCCGCAATAGTCCTCTACTCTACCATAATTTACATAAAAGAGTCGCTCCTGGTAAAAACAGAAACATGCAAAGGAAGCTGTATGTCGGTATAACCAAAAACAACAAGAGAATAAGTTTTAACAAAATCATAATTCGAACACAAAATCGATAAAACTAGAGCAATATATGAACTAAGGCAATATATACATGGCGATCATTGGGAAAATACAAGGATTATAAGACCAGGTGTTCCGGACGGATAAGCGTCCTTTGCTTTATAACGACATTCGTCATGTAAATTAAGGTCAAATCCACGAAATGTCACGTCTTCATACCGAGAACTTGGAGGTGACACCAAAACCACATGGCGCATAAATGAGCATGATAAGAAAACATCGACATCCTTAACAGCTTATACGACACACGAAAAATCTAGTCTATTCATGAAAATACAATCTGTGGTTTATTCACCAGCAACCATAGCCATGACTTCTACTTAAGTAGGAACCCTATAAGTAAACAACAAGGATTCTGATATATGTTAATATCAATATTGTGTAAATATAGTCGCACGGGACGATATGCGTCGACATGACTGGGTCAACTACAGTGGTGGTAACAAATTTTAATATTCTTTAACCAGTACGCTAACAGCAACCAGTATTTCCTTACAGACAGTATATCCCCTGGTGGGGAGTAGGCATTAAAGGGCGGTACCACACCACTCTTGTTCTCACTCGGGTGTAGAATTGCCTCCCTTAGCGGAGACTGGTACACTACTCCGCCGGTGGCGTTGATCAGCTCTATTCGGTTCATCATGTCGTCATCAGTGACGTTTGGGTATGACAACAGGACGTCATACGGCGTGATGTAGACCTCGTCCAGTCCCTCCTGTTTCCAGAAGTCGTGTAGCTCCTTAGCCTGGTGGTAGTCAGCGTCCGTCCCCGCGAGATGGGGTAGCTCAGACAGGTCTCTGAATAATAGCCAAACAGCGTTTATTGATCAAAAAACGAATTTGATTTTACATCAGTTTTTGATGAGAAGCGCCATGGTTACATATCCATCATTTAGAATCGCCGAGCCGTTCGCCTTTTCAATGCTGGTTTTACTTAACCTTGCAAGGTTGATACTGATCCATTGAACGTATGCCGTTATGTCTCCGTAATAAATGTTCCTTTTTGTGATACCACCACAGGTTTATTTGTTTACTTCCTGGTGTTACTCTAGTCTGAGTTAAAATGTCACTAAGTGTCAGTGACTGCCCCATTCCCTTATTGGTCGACCAGATCGAGTTTTATCTACTTCACATTGCTCACGTTATCCTATTGCCGTTGTATACAGCTGCATGACTATAGTTATATCGTGATTTATTGCCAACAACAAAATTGAAGTTTTGTCGTTGTCCACTTCTTTTTCTTGTTTTAAGGTGCTTTGTTCTTGGGAACCTGAATATCTTCATACATCTGCAGGTCATTATATTATGTCTACCATTCGCATTGATTGAACCCAAGGATCTAGTTTTCTTACTTATCCTAAAAGGCTGTGTCATGTTACCTGTCTGACCTATCTAAAAGCGTTGTATAGGTCTTAATGCCTTTCTTACCAATCTTAAAAGGTTTTGTATGTTTAATTGCCTCTCTGACTTAGCCTTAAAAGTTGTGCAGCTCTGATTGCCGCCTTAGTCTTGTGTTATTATAATCATCATCCTCTTCCAATGGCATAGAGAGGTGGGATGATAACGCTACCTTTTGAAATCCCTCTGGTGAAATTTGTTCAATATCATCTTAGCAATCCACTTCTTTTTTCTACCGGTCAAGAAATCCTCCATCTACCTAACCACTTCACCATATAACCCTTACGATAATAATTTCTAACCTTCCTTTGTTGAGAGCATTGTAGTGAAGGTCCTTCATGTTACCCATGTGTATTACTAACATAAACTGCTACTACCGATGATGTCGGTGCACTGTTCACATTATATAAAATGGAAGACCAACCTTCCTATGTCGAGCCTGAACAGCTCAGTACTGAATAGATTGTTACGGATAAGATTATTCATGAATTATTTTATGAAACAGAAACTGAATTAAACAAAATGACTTGATATACATCTATGTAAGGGATAACTTACTTATGGCAATACTGTGAGACAAAGATTGTAAACATAGACATAGTTATACAACACACACAAGGATAACTCTGATCGTGAGTATTTCTATCCCGTTTCTTTGTCATCTGCCACTGCCTAAGACTAATTAAGCTGTGTTCAGTATCAAGTGGGCACATTATGTCGTATAAGAAAGGTACATAAACCTAATTCCGTTGTCCTTGATTTACATTCCGTATACATATATTCGTTTGACTTTGGTATTTATTTACATTCAAAATCACACCCCGAGACGGCTAGCCGGGTAGAGTTTTAAATAACAAACACATCTTTACGGGAACAAGTGCATAGCGGATTCATTTTATGTTATTTGTGTGTACACGGGCATAAACACATAGACCACTATTTATTAGCGTTATATTACTTCACTTGGTGAGAAGTGTTAAGACGATCCCATTCTACTTCCCAGTGCACTATACCTCGAAACTTGACTGTTATGCTAATTACTATCCAGTGAGCAATATTCTTTTGGGACGTACGTACAGAAGCTTTTATATAGAAATGTCAAACAGACAAACATTCTAAAATAAGGAAGCCTGCCTCGTAGCATCTGGTAGATCGTCAAAATTTGAAGTGTTTATTTTGAAACATCAGTAATATGGAAAAATTCCCAAATTTTTGGTCGTCAAAATAACCCGTTATACGGTATGCGTTCACTGACACTTTAGTTTTGTTGTTTAGAATATTAAAACGATATAGGTCATTTACCGGTTAGGTTTCGAAAATAAAATCTAGACTTAGCTTACTTACTTGTCAACTTACAAAAAAAAAGAGAGACTTATGTTTTGCCGGTAACAAATCGACTAGAGACCAAATGACAAGAGTACGATACTATTGACGTGTGTGGTATACAAGAGTGTATCAGATCTCTACCCCCCAAAAAAACCCAATCTACTTACTGCAGGTATTGCCTGATGTTTTCACTGCTGATGCTATTGATGAGTAGATCACTGATCGTTGGGTCGCCATCTTGGATAATCTGTTTTGAAACACCTGGTAGGAATACTCCATTTTTCTGTGACGCTGGTTCTGGTTCGTTGTCCGGACACAGTCCGAAGCGACCGATCAGGAGACCTAGGACAAGCCCCAACACCAGGGCGACGAGTCCGCAGATAAGTAGGGGTCTCCGTGGGTTGCCGTACCTCGCCTTGGCGAGGATGTGGTCGGTGTCTGCCAGTTCGTACATCATGTCGACTGAGGTTTCAGGGATTGCGCTATCAATAATACAGTGACGGGTGATTGTTGTTACTGCTCTGGTCGTACGTACTCAGGTGTATGCAGACATTCTATATATGGCATTATAAAATTAAACAAGGCCCCGTGGTGCTGCTCAGTACACGCTTACAGTTCACATAGCCTTATCACAGCGGTGTGCTATCAGCAGTAATGACCAAGTAGAGCGGGCTATGTCTGATCTACCGTAGCACTGTAGGTATGTCACAAGGGATACATATATCTGAGTTTCAGTACAGCTGAAAACATTTAAAGCTGATGTGGTTAGAACGTCACTGTGTAAAGATGGCTTAGATAGGACCGGTAAACACAGGTAAGGATTCTCGTCTACGAAAAAACATAAAGGCTATGGCTACATAGCCTTTCATTTCCAATGCAGAACCTGGCAAAATAGATGTCTCGGTTGTTTGACAAAAACAAAAACAAAGGTAAAGTTTTATTGCGATAGTCAGTTTGTTTCAGAAGGTCGAAACTATTCTAAGAATTATTTTTCGCTGCTATGTCCATCTTCTTTAGAAAAAATAAAATATCGAAACTTGTATGTTTTGTCATTTTAGTGAGGAAAGCAAATAATGAGTTCAAAAAGTCTGTTTCAGTAACAAAAACAAAGAATTGACAGTACCATGTTTTTGTCCATCACGTTGAGGATGCTGTAATCAGGTTGATTTAGACGGTGGTTTAAAATTACGTATTGAGGATGTTTTGATTTTGAAGGAGATATGGGTAAAAGCACAATGTGTTGTCCTGCATGAAAAGGAAATAAAAGAACGTGAAATACTCAGAGTTACGAAGTGAAAGGGAAACCTTTGGTATTTTCGTTGATATACACAATTCAAATTCTGTTCGTAAAAAAATACATAACACTCTTTAAAGAACGTAGAACGAGGAAGACCATATCAACATCTCTTTGTAAAGAACAGTGATGTCAGTGATATTGTGTTTTCTTCCGTAAACAATGTTTCCATCAGTTTATAAAGAAACATGAATAACATTACTGCTATTATGTGACCATCTCTCTATAAAGGACATTAATAACGATTATGAGAGTATGTGTATATCTTTCTGTAAAGGGCAATATGTAACGATCAATGATACTTGTGTCCATCAGAATGATGTTATAATGATGCTAGTGTGTCCATTTGTTTATAAAGAAACAGGTATATCATTACTACTATCTGTGTCCATCTTAATGTAAAGGGCATACATATAACGATCAATCATATTTGCGTTGATCTTTATGCTTTTAGCAGATGTTAGAATAATGCTAGTTTGTCCATTTGTTTAAGAAGAACAAACACACAGGTAAGTGATTTCAAATAAGTCAGTTCCTCTTTCCCACCATACTAACCTCAGTAAAACATTGGCCAATGTATCGGGATAGGTTCACGTAGCGACATCAATCAAACGTAGATAAAACACACAAAAACTAAAGAACGCCTGGAGAACCTTGACACTAACTTTGTTTTTCAATGCCACATTGTACACCACCATTCTTGATTCTAAAGATCACGCTTTGGTAGGTAGAAAAAAGAAGTATTAGGAAACATAAGAAATACACAGATAATAAGATAGTTGCCATAATGTATTATGTATTTGATAATATTGAACAGGTGGGAGAAATATCGGTATTCCAAAGGGGACTGTGTGTCTCATCGACATTATCTGTTTTTGTAAGCTTAACGTGTTAATGTAGAACGTATTAATTGTCTAATTGAGAATAGCAGCCATATCGTCCATTTGGATTTTATTCATAAAAATGACCTTTCCTGTCTATTTTTGAAAAACGTACAAATATGGCACTGGTGTTTGCCTTACCACTGAAAACATCATAAACACAGAAAATGTTACATGGATTTATTTCTGCTTCTGGAGTAAATATTGTAGAAACATAGAGATACTGTACAGTCGTTTATACACTGTAACACTATAACCACGTGATGTCAGGAAATTAATTACATATCACAGCACATGCACTAACGGATATCGAGACAGATTATTCAAAAGTATTCGTAACATACATGCAATGGCAATCTTAATTGAAATTGAAATAATGACGTATATAGAATAAATGATACATGAAAAAAATGAAACTAATACATGACATACGGTAATGATACAAGGGATAACAGATACATGACATAATGGGTTAAGGTAAAACTGAAACATGACACAACGATATAAGGTATAACTAATACATGACATACAGTAATGATACAAGGTAAAACTGATACATGACACAACGATATAAGGTATAACTAATACATGACATAATGGGTTAAGGTAAAACTGATACATGACACAACGATATAAGTTATAACTGATACATGACATACAGTAATGATACAAGGTAAAACTGATACATGACATAATGGGTTAAGGTAAAACTGATACATGACACAACGATATAAGGTATAACTGATACATAACAATATGCTAAAAGGTTGCATGTACACATGATTGTGCTTGAATTTAATTACCGAGCAACTTCTACCGATCAAAAGTTAGAATTACAAATACTGCGCCGCACAATTCTGTTGACGATGTCATCACGATTGGTGTCGTCTGCTTTTTTAGGTCATACGATATAACCCCAAAACTCACCTCGGAATAACCAACATTAATATATAAATATATATATAATAAAATCAAAATCAATGTTCAGGAATTTGGTGCTCATTTTTGATCTTATGAATTCGTTTTTATTCATCAATTGAGTCACACAGTTTCCTGAAAATCTGGCATAAATGTGGTCACTTCCCGAAGCGTAGTCTGCGCTGACTGAATAGTGAATACCAACACGGAGAAGTGTTGCTTTATGACTTCCCATAGTGCCTTGGTTTCGTCTTCTGAAGCATCCGCCAGTTTCAAAAGGGAGTCCACTAGTCCGGGAAAAGTAGTTCCAACGTATGAATTAACATCGAGATGCGAAAATAGCACATGCCTGAAATATGAACAGCAATGTATAACCGAGGTATAACATGGATACATCGTATGTTCGGCATATTGCATGGCAGTTGGACTGTAATACACTTATCTCCCTTGAAATGAATCAATTCTTATTTCTAATTTCACTTTTGTCGTTGAAATTTCCTAAATTTCATCAATGGAAGTTAACCTGTGTATGACAGTTTATAATTCGTTAGAAAAACAATTCGAATGGCATTCTCGATAATTAAGATAGCACTTAATACTCGGTAACAACAACAAGATTACCAAAAATCCTCATCTGGATATACCTACTGAAAACATGGATGTCGATATCAACACATTGTATACTCACCGGCAGGGTTGGCAAATTGTATGATATGGGGAAATACATGATCGACGTTCTATCAACAAATGCGCTATTCTTTTTAAAACGAACCTCGCCAGGGGCCGTCCGGGTAGTCCAGCCGGGTCAATAAAGGCTCTCTCCAGTAAAATCAGCTGGTCATTAATCCGACGAATGGCGAAAGGACTGGATAATTACAAATTATATCGTTGATAACTCTCATATAATAATACTTAATAAATACGTTCATAAAAACGACACCTTAATGACGTTTTACTTTGATTTATACAATCATGTGTTTTCATCACGGATGTGAACTAACATCAACATGATGTATGAGCAGCAATTTTAAAAATAACATCTTTTGTATCAACCTGAAGCTTAACGTTTTCATCAAGTTTTATTAATATCTACTGGGAAAGATATTTTTGATTGCTTTGAGAACAACACGGCACTTATAAAACAGCTTTGCAGTGTCAGCCACATATGATATGTGAGTAAACGAAACGAAGCGATGTAAATATGTTAGTACATCCAAAGCTAAACTCCTGTTCTTTATAAAAGAAAAAAAAACATGTCATATTTATGGACATTGATGTATTCATAGTTTACAGGAGAGAGAAGAAATATGATATTGTAATATAAAATGTAAAGTCATCAGAGAGACGACATTACATACTTTTTCACCTCAACGTTAATCAAGTCAGATATGAAAAACAACATACTCATTCATGTTAATGTTATCTGCTCTTGTTTGAAATTTGATGACTTCTGAAGAAAAATTCTCTGCTGCTTCCTGCAACCATTCTAAAAGATCAATACAAAACATACCAGTAAACTCGCCACTGTAGAGTTCACTTTCAAGAATTAGTTCATGATTTATCTGCACGTGTCTTTATTAGTCCAATGATTGTTTAAAGGCATGGACTAGCAACCTACGACGTCAAGCAGCCTCTAAGAAGTTGAGGTTACACACGAATTCAATTCTTCTGTGCTTAAAGCTATATCTGATCTAGAATTGTAGTACTTTATAGGGAATATGAACACTACTCCCGTATGCTACATACCGAAGTGGATACCGTGGGTTCTGAGGAGCTGTCCGTACTCCATGTCAAGTATTGTGACACGCATCTGAAGCTGTTCTGAAAGGTCACTCACATTAAAAGGCACTGTCAGAGAGTCTGCCAAATTCCTTGCCATTTCGGCTGTGACTTGACAAACTGCACGGTGGGTCTGCAAGTACAGAGTAAGATATTTCGGCAAGTGTAGTTCGTGTTGTTTCTGTCTCATATCTGTGGAGTCTTCGCTGAGGGTGGAACGCTCCAGATGTTTTATTTTTGTATTTCTATATTTTGACGCGGTTGGGCACATTAAGTCCTTCATTGTCAATTTTAACTTAATTTAACCAACGATGATTTCGTAAGTGCCTTAATGTGGACATACACGAGACCAAAAATATTCTGCTTCACCGTGGCACCCATGTATGTTTATTATCGTGTGTGTTTAAAATTCCATTTAAGTCCAAACCATACTAAGACTATACTACCATACTTCAATCACGCTAAATGTTAACATAAAAACAATAATGCAAGTGGTCATAACGGTCTTAATACGTATTTAATTCATTCACTTTATGTTTATTAATTTATGTTTGGTAGTAACCAATATTCGATACTAGCACATCTGCGTCTTTGAAGAAGGTTTCAGAAACTTTAGGGGTGAGTCAGGGTCTTCATTTTCATACCATCAAACAACAATCGCATGAAAATAATTTTTCAACCAAGTTCGATTTTTTCCCACTAAAAATAAACAAAATATACCTAAATGGTTATTTTCCTAAATAAACTGTAGTAAACTTTATCGCCCCCTCCCCCTCCAATACACACAGACACACTCCTAGGTAGAATGGATGAACCCGTGTTAATGAAATCCGCTATTTTGATAAAGCTCCTTAGGACTTCTCATCCATGGAAAGTATTTGATTCCAGTATATATGGGTCTGAAGAAGATGATTATTGAAATTTTAGTCAATCCGAACTCTTTGTTTTTCTTTTTATAATTTGCACTTACTGAAGCCCTGGCCAGTCTGTAGGTGATCTCACCGTTCTGCATTAACATTTGCCGAGAGAAGATAACTTTTTCTAAGCCTAACCTTGCAGTCGTTAATATTTACCTTGAAGCCCCTGTCAATTATTTCATCCAAGATGTGGAATGTATCGTATCTAGTGTGATACAGGGGATTGGCGCCAGGAATCTGGATAGCATAAGATTAACAAAGATGTCAATTGTCTTACAAGGAAATTGTACAATGAATACGTGACAATACCAAATTTTAGAACGAAATTTGTTACGTTAACAGGTAAATGAAAAAGTAATTCTGTTTGGTAATGTAAAGGTACATTATATCTCTGTTTGGTGAATGTAAAAGTAATGCTATTTGTTAATGGAACGGTGTCTCTGTTCGGAAATGCAAAAGTAACTGTTTGGTACCTAATAGTTACGTTAATGTATCTGTGTTTGGTAATTTAAAGGTTTTCTCTCTAAGATTTGAAATTTATAAAATGAAGAGTGTTTATGATGTCAGAGTCATCCCTTGTCAGGAGATACATACCGAATCACCAGTAAATGCTAACATTACACTGGGAATCCCTACTAGTTGTATAAAGGGAGCATGGTCACTCTGCGACGCAGCCATACGAAATCTGTAAAATACGCATTAAATATAATTAGGGGAGGGGATGATATCTAAATTTCAATTTTCCACTTGTTTAAAAAAGAAAAAGGACGCTTAGCGTTCCTATTGTATGTACTATTTTTCCATGCAAAATATATTTTTCTTCATATAATATGCGTTGAATAATAAAATTAACGTAAACTTCCAAACGTTATACAACGACTGCGCTGTTGCCTTTGAGCCTAACACAATACGTGACATAATGTATATTTGTGAAATTGCATATTTCGTTGCATTACAGTGTACATCACCGAATTTCAACATGCATTTATTTCGATATCTATTTACCACAGTACGTCTAAGGCTAACAGTGTTGTCTCTGGAAAGAGAACTGTACGAGAAAAGGACAGATATAGCATTTGCTAATTTTTTGTGGCACTGAACACAGAGAGGTTCGACAAAATTGTACTCGGTAATATATGTTGGCACTTTACTGACACAAAAAGAAGTCAATCAAATCAAAACTACAGTTATACATGGTGGCATAGCACTGACACACAAAAAGGACAAAAAAGAGAAACAACAGTTAATATACGGTGACATCGTTCGAAACTTCGTGAAACAAAGCTTACTTGGTTATACATGGTGGCTGTACACACAAAGATCAAACAAAGCTTACTTGGTTATACATGGTGGCTGTACACACAGAGATCAAACAAAACTTACATGGTTATACATGGTGGCTGTACACACAGAGATCAAACAAAGCTTACTTGGTTAGACATGGTGGCTGTACACACAGAGATAAAACAAAGCTTACATGGTTATACATGGTGGCTGAACACAGAGATCAAACAAGACTTACTTGGCTATACATGGTGGCTGTACACACAGAGGGGAAGGAAAGCTTACTTCGTTATATATGTTGGCTGTACAAACAGAGATCAAACAAGGCTTACTTGGTTAAACATGGTGACTGTACACACAGAGATCAAACAAAGCTTACTTCGTTAGACATGGTGGCTGTACACACAGAGATAAAACAAGGCTTACTTGGTTATACATGGGGGCTGTACACACAGATATCAAACAAAGCTTACTTGGTTATACATGGGGGCTGTACACACAGAGATCAAACAAGACTTACTTGGCTATACATGGTGGCTGTACACACAGAAATCAGACAAGGCTTACTTGGTTAAACATGGTGGCTGTACACACAGAGATAAAACAAGGCTTACTTGGTTATACATGGGGGCTGTACACACAGAGATCAAACAAGACTTACTTGGCTATACATGGTGGCTGTACACACAGAGATAAAACAAGGCTTACTTGGTTATACATGGGGGCTGTACACACAGATATCAAACAAAGCTTACTTGGTTATACATGGGGGCTGTACACACAGATATCAAACAAGGCTTACTTGGTTATACATGGTGGCTGTACACACAAAGATCAAACAAAGCTTACTTGGTTATACATGGGGGCTGTACACACAGATATCAAACAAAGCTTACTTGGTTATACCTGGTGGCTGTACACACAGATATCAAACAAAGCTTACTTGGTTATACCTGGTGGCTGTACACACAGATATCAAACAAGGCTTACTTGGTTATACATGGAGGCTGTACACACAGAGATCAAACAAGACTTACTTGGTTATACATGGTGGCTGTACATACAGAGAGCAAACAAAGCTTACATGGTTATACATGGTGGCTGAACACAGAGATCAAACAAGGGTTACTTGGTTATACATGGTGGCTGTACACCCAGAGATCAAACAAGGCTTACTTGGTTATACATGGTGGATGTACATACAGAGATCAAACAAAGCTCACATGGTTATACATGGTGGCTGTACACACAGAGATAAAACAAGGCTTACTTGGTTATACATGGGGGCTGTACACACAGATATCAAACAAAGCTTACTTGGTTATACCTGGTGGCTGTACACACAGATATCAAACAAAACTTACTTGGTTATACAAGATGGCTGTACACAGAGATCAAACAAAGCTTACTTGGTTATACATGGGGGCTGTACACACAGATATCAAACAAAGCTTACTTGGTTATACATGGTGGTTGTACACACAGAGATCAAACAAAGCTTACTTGGTTATACATGGTGGTTGTACACACAGAGATCAAACAAAGCTTACTTTGTTATACATGGTGGCTGTACACACAGATATCAAACAAAGCTTACTTGGTTATACCTGGTGGGTGTACACACAGATATCAAACAAAACTTAATTGGTTATACATGGTGGCTGTACACACAGAGGGGAAGGAAAGCTTACTTCGTTATATATGTTGGCTGTACAAACAGAGATCAAACAAGGCTTACTTGGTTATACATGGAGGCTGTACACACAGAGATCAAACAAGGCTTACTCGGTTATACATGGTGGCTGTACATACAGAGAGCAAACAAAGCTTACATGGTTATACATGGTGGCTGAACACAGAGATCAAACAAGGGTTACTTGGTTATACATGGTGGCTGTATACACAAAGATCAAACAAAGCTTACTTGGTTATACCTGGTGGGTGTACACACAGATATCAAACAAAACTTAATTGGTTATACATGGTGGCTGTACACCCAGAGATCAAACAAGGCTTACTTGGGTATACATGGTGGCTGTACACACAGAAATCAGACAAGGCTTACTTGGTTAAACATGGTGACTGTACACACAGAGATCAAACAAAGCTTACTTCGTTATATATGTTGGCTGTACAAACAGAGATCAAACAAGGCTTACTTGGTCAAACATGTTGGCTGTACACACAGAGATCAAACAAGGCAAGTTTCAGTTATATATGGTGACATTGTTCAAACAGAGCTCTCAAAGGCAAATCCCCAGTTATATATGGTAGCAGTGTACTCAAAGTGGCCGAACAAAGGAAACTCCGATGATATGCAGCTGACTTACAAAGGTCTAGATGTACCAGGTGCTGGGAATCTCTTCAACCATTTATCGTAGACAGTGACTATACCCTCTCCTGATTCAGAGGAATCGGGGTTTACAACCTAGTCAACAGTCAAATGTTACTATATATATATAAATATCTTTATCAAACGTACTTTATTACACAATATATGTATTAGTCATATTTAGCAACACAATATTTGTATCAGACATACTTAGTTACACATCATATTCATTTCTCATATTTAGTAGCACATCTTATATTACTAAGTCATATTTTGAAACACATTATTTTTATCAAACATACTCAGTTACCTATGATTTCTAATAAAACTAATAAGAGGGAAGAACGAAATAGTTTTCAAAGGAAAATCATTCGTTATATTCGCTTTATCTTTTGCAACAGTCTACATACATATGTATTACTAGCATGGTGACATGAGTTTTACTACCTTTTTGGTTGCATCATATGTAATGGTGTGCATCAGGGGTGTACCAATGGGTTCAAATGTAGCGTTCCCTGAAAAGTGTCCGAAAACTCTGTTACATTTATATCAACGCGCTTATAGGTGCGAGTCATGATGCCAAATGACGTCATCCGTGACATTCACCATATTCGAGTGCTCACTTTATTAGATGTTTAAAATATTTGACATAAACATTTATAAATAAAGTGTTTGTACTCGAAATATACAGTCATGTTAATGACAAGCAGTGTTAAGTAAGGCAGACAATGTTGTGATATATAAAGCTGATCTCCAATGGGAGTAGACGTACCTGTCACGGCCACGTCAATGTTGATGTAGGCTAATGATCGAGCGGCAAGGTTTTTCACGTATTGCTGCAGTCAAAAGATAAACTGTCTTAGTGGTAAATAAAAACCATGAACAAAATAATAATAAAAAAAACATTTATAAGTTTTTTCTAATCATGAACCGGCCGTTATAAATAATGAATTTATCATCAGGTGTGTTTTCACATTAAAAAATTAAATAAAAACTGTAACGTTAAGGATTTGTTTTACCTAATTGTCTAATTAAAGAATCGATCATTAGGTTTTAACTATGGAAAAGACAAACAGTGAATACTGAGGTGACAATAAAAACATAATTCGAATTCGAAAACTAAACGAAAGCTGTAGCAAATTACCAACAAAGGAAAGGTTCACACATTTATCTATGAAAGGCATAAGTATTTTAAGACCAGGATTTCCGAAAGGTTCAGCGTCTTTTCATCAACGACAACCGCCATGTAAGTACAACTAGAATCTAAGTAATGTCAAGTCCTCATTGTGAGAACCGGAGAAGTGTCAACAAAACACAGCGGGCATAGTAGAAACAGGGCGACCATACACCTTGTCAATATTCTTCATCAACCTGCATCTCTGGAGACCGTGGATGCAAGTTTGTTTGTCAGCAGTCGAAATTTATCATGAAAAATGAATGTTAGGGTGGAACTGTTTGAGACTCGCTTGAGAGTTTATAATGATCAACTCATAAACTAAGACGTAGGAGAAAACGAATCAGAAAGTCAGTGAGAAATAACATTCAAATAATTGAATATCAACAAATTATGAACTCGCGATAACAACGATTAGTGTTCTCTTTATTTCCTCCTTTAAGAAGATTTTACAAACAGAATAATGTAGTTACAATGATAAATAAGATAAAAAAAAAAAATGCAAAATCAAATAGATGGTAGGCAAAATTAGTGCGCAACATCATTAGTTAACACAATAGAAATAGGTTAATCAATTTGAGTACAGTTTACAAAAGAATACATAATTAATAATGTTAAGAATGATATACACCAAAGTATTGAATAATCATTAGAAGTATGCATTAAGCATTTTTGAAATATGATTGACTGATGCCATACGAAATTCTGTTAACTCTAATGTATTCAGTTCATACGTTATATTGCCACCAATCAGTAGGTGAAATAATTCATAGTCTGAATGAGAGTGTAAATATACACTAAACATAAGTTCACATGTATTAATGACTTGACACCATAACTGATCTCGTAAGTCTTCAGTACAATCACATTGTAAAACTATGTGGGTATATATATCGTTATACATTTGTCCACATTTATGACATAATTCAGTTTTTTCTGAATGTCTTAGAGATACAATCAATTTCATTATACTATGTATGGCTTCTCTGTTTTGAGGAAATTTTATTAACAATTTCCACAATATATGAGGAGCCAAATTATCATGAACAAATATAAATCTGCAGAAATCGCGGTCACCACTCATTCTCTCCTTCCATCCTTTTTCTTCATATAACTGTACATTATGCTTTACTTTCGCTTTCCATATACTTTTCACTGGAAATATTCCATTTGATAAACATTCTTGTACTAATTTGTATAAATCATATTTCTTTAGTACCCTAATTACTTCATTCATAAATCCATTATTATACACATTGGTCCCTATAACTGCCATACAAAGACGAGTAAAAAACACAAGATAAGATATACAGTTTTTCTCCAAGTTGCATAATCTTCCAAACAATAATAATTTCTTGGTATCTATGTATGCTTCTAAACTTAACCAACCCAGAAGGCCTGTGCACATATCTGTACGGGTTCTTGTATGGAACCCCTGAATTGACTTTAAAATGAAACGTTGTGCTCTTTCTAACATTAAAATTTCGGTTTTTTGAAGACACCATAATTCACACCCATATAGGGCTGAAGCATATACTTTTGATTTCAGTATTTTACTAATCGTTAAAGGATTTAATGCACATGGATGAGCACCACTTTTAATTAAACTCATGACACCACTCTTAAGCTTATTACATGCGCGTACTGTACGTTCCATACTATTAAAATTATAGTTCAACATCACGCCAACATGTGTTATATCCTCAACTTCTGGAAGAAGATGCCCATATAGATATAATTTCGTACTAAGATTTCGCTTCTTTTTTCTAGAGAAATACACTATTTTACTTTTAACTGCAGAAAATGTGAAACGCCACTTTCTGCTATACGCTTCGCACATCTCGAGCATGTATTGTAAGCTTTTACGCTGTGTACTAACCAGACATATATCATCTGCTTGTGTTGGTATATTAATTCTTAAATCGGCAATAAGTGCACCCTTTCCACACTTTTTTGAATACTGTCTAATAAACTGTTTATGAATACAAGATACATTTTGGCAGACAACGCACTCCCCTGTAAAATCCCCCTCTCCATACGGATCCATCTTGAACTTAAACCATTAAATATAACACTACTTCTTATATCTGTGTATATTGATTTCAAAATATGCCATGTCTTTGAAGTGATACCGATCTCATTTAGCTTATACAACAAACCATCATGCCATACGGTGTCAAATGCCTTGTTACTATCTAAAAAGGCCACATAAACATCTTCTTCTCTTTCTAAATTATAATGTATACATTCTTGCAGATTAAATGCAGTTAACAAACTGCATAGTCCTTTTTGATATGCTGACTGTTGCTTATTCGGAAAGTTGTTACAATTAAGAACTGAATCTAATCTTTTAGCTAAAATCATTTCAAAAACTTTAAAAATGACTGGTAACAAAGTAATTCCCCTATAACTATTAGGGTCATCTTTAGGTTTTGCGTTTCCTTTGTGCAAAGTAATTATTGTTCCCATTTTCCACTCTTTTGGTAT